CCTCTGTTCTTAGCTATGGTATTGGCTGGCAGGTACATGTTATTGTTTCATCTACCATATGTTCAGGCTCAAGCACCATTTTACTGGAAGCACAATGACATCACCCTCAAAGGACTTCAAGACCCTTCTCTTTGGTGACAAGCCGGTTACCATCTTTGGCATCAGGTACTCTCCTGTCCCCTCTCCTACTTATTTGGTACATGGATTGAGTTTATTTGTTCAGGCTTTAGCTTTGAGCTTGTGAGCTGATGCTTGAATTGCTTCAATTCTACAGGAACCCTGATTAGATCCTGTGGGGTGTGGCTGGTGCCAACTATGTCATGGAGTCCACTTGTGTCTTCACTAACAAGGACAAGGTTGCTGCGCATCTGAAGGTATAATTTTTCTTCACGGTCCTTTATTTGTTTCAGAATGTGTATGTTGTTTCACTTGTTTGGGTATCATGTTCTCCTAGATCCTAAATATATCCATTTGGTTGTAAAATGACAGCATGATGCTTGTCTTTAAGCCACCGAGAAGATTGTTGATGGACCCTCAGCCAAGGACTGGAGAGGTGGCAGGGCTACCAGCTTTAACATCATTCCCAGCAGCACTGGTGCTGCCAAGGTATATGATAAAACTCATGATGTCTCTTGTGATTTGTGTTAGCACATATTTTCTTCTGTTAATTGTGATTTGTGCCTACCCACACCAAGTTTTTGTTCTTATCCTTTCATAGAAAAAATTGCCCTTTGTGATTTGTGCTAACACACCTTGTCCTTTATTTCTTATGATTTGTGTCAGCCCACACCAAAATTTTGTCGTTGTCCTTCCATAGAAAAAAAATTATCTCTTTTGATTTTTTGTGGTAACACATCTTTTAAGTTTGTTAATTGTGATTTGTGTCAACACACCTCATTTTTGTCTTTGTCATTTCATAGAAATTTTTTTGTCTCTTGTGATTTGTGCTAACACTTCATGAACTTTGTTAATTCTGATTTGTGTCAACACACATCTCATTTTTCGTCTGTTCAGTGTGTTATTGTCTCTGAATGTCAGTGCTAGTGATGCGTTGATTTACCCATTTGTGTTTGACAGATTAAGTTTTAGTATATATGCTTATGCTGGACATTGCTACATTGCTGAATAGTAGTCCTGTCTCTATGAACTTGGAGCTTGCCATTTTTCAGGATATATGCTTAGTGTTGCTGTACATTTTCAGTATATTATCACCGTTGTACATTTTTAGTGTTGCATTTTCAGTATATATCTTTTCTTAAAGACCGAAACCCCCAACTTAACTTCTGTCTGCCATTTGTATTGTCTACTTGCTCCTAGCTATTATGCCATTATAGATTTCTGAATTCTATTTCACCTAGTCTGCAATACGTGCAGGTAGCGTCTTGGGGCACAAAGTGCAGTTCACATAGAGTAACCAAAAGGATAATGCTGAGGTATGTATGTTTAGCTCTAATTTTCATGATCTTGCTGATGTTTCTGTTGCTCCAAATCAGCTATGTAACTTCAGCCTTTGTTCAATCTCAGGAAGACGGCCATGTCAGATGCCTAGTACAAGGTGGTGTCGGTGCTGTACTCGATGGCCATGGTTTGTTCCAACATAAGTTCAGTGTAGCCTCCCTGCATTGAAATATAATTTAGTTCAAAAGAACAACCTTTTCATCTTGACATTGTTGAATCCCAGCAATGATTTGCTCACCTTTTTGTATCTGTAGGCATTGGAAGGGTCGGCATCAGATCCAATAAGTATTTCTACAACATAATTGGTGTTCCTACTGTGCTCATCTCTGTTATTGTAACTGATGTCTGATAGATTTGTCAACATAGGATTTGTAAATGCATTCTGTCCAGCCTGCATCTATTTGAACATATATACTTATTGACATATGTCTAGTTTCTCTGAGTAAATGATTATTTGAAGCAATACTTTAATCTAGTACCTGGTTAGTCTGGTACATCAATTGTAGTGTTTCTTGCCACTTCTTGATCCCATGTGTTGTTGTGAGATCAAAGTTTGGTTCTGAGTTTCCACTTGCATGTGTATATGGTACCTGCAGTAGATGATGTACATCATTTAGAAATGTGAAATTTAGGAGGATTCACCTGTATTTGTAGTAAGTCCATGAAAAATAGATTTTTCCTAAACCAAAACTTAATTATTGACATTTATATTACCTGAAAGTTATGCCCATCCATAGTTCCAGGGATCTGTAATACTTCCTACTCCAATCTCAATTTTGCCATATGCTTTGCCTGCATTTAGTAATAAATGATGATATGTCATTAGGATAAAGTTGAAGCATTATAAAGAATCAGTATTTCAGATTATAGCCAGTCATAGGTACAAGTATCAATACTTGCATGAGCCAGATCTTTAAATTCTATACATGTGCAGTATAATTGCATTAGTAGCAAGTATAAGCAGCACTATGTGAAATGTGCAATTTCCATATTTGTGTTTTGTAATTTATTTACAATAGGAATATAGCAAATGCATAACAGATATATTTATAATTTTAGTTGAGGATTGGTGAGTGGTGTTGCTGCAGAATTACTTTTAGAAATTGGCCCAAAAAATCAATGTGTGTGTGTGATTTCTGCTAACTACATGTGTGTGTGATCTCATGCTCTCTGTTTTGTACTATGCTCTCTATGTTTCTAGCCTTTTAGACCACATCATAACCCCCCAAGTACTGGATCTGCTCCTTGTGCACAGTGAGCAACCAGGGCCACGCCCTGCTGTTGGAGCAAGCACAAGCAGCAGTCTATCTTTGCCATCCTGACTGTGTTTATAGCTCCCATGATTACATATTTTATGGATCTAGGTTCTCCTAGTTTTTATCTCAGCTGCTAATTTGTTCATTGTTGCTTCATAAGATAAATTGGTTTACAAGAGAAATTGATTAAAAAGATTGGTGTACTAACCTTAGCTGATGAGGTATGAATCAGACTTGTAGTGCTTGACATATGTCTGATAGATTTGCCAACATAGAATTTGCAAATTAATTCTTTCGGTCCTGCATTTATTTGAACATATATACTTCTTGACATATGTCTAGTTGCACTGATTAAATGATTATTTGAAGCAATATTTAATCTAGTACCTGTCTTTCCTAGAAGTAACCAATGATTTTGCTCACCTTTTTGTATCTGTAGAAACGGTCAGTGGAACAATTTGTGCCTCCAAATACTTGATATAGAGCTGACTGCACTGCCTTCATTGCTTCCGTACCATGTGAGTTCATTAATGTTGGATAATCATCAACTCTGCTTGTTGTCATATACATACTATTCTGCTTCATAAAAAAAAGAGCACCTGAGTACTTATTTTGTTTTTTATCAGATCTTCTTAATTTTTAATTGCATCTATGAAATGTGTTTTTTACCTCAAGTAATTGATCAAACTGGACTGGTGCTTGTAAATGCATTAGGAAACCAAATGAATGTTGCAGCAAAATATAGAATTCAGTAGTTGACATATTTTTTTTGTTTATGACTGCATTTTAAATTAGGAGTTATTTTACCTCATACATGTCTTTGGTGTTGACATCATTGTTGTTGTATCCTTGCACTTTCTCAGAATTCTGAATCTGATATTGTGGCTCTGACATTTGCTCATGTCTTGTACCTCTTCCTTTGTTCTTGTTCTGTTAAAATATCTAAAATTATGTAAGATGTAATCTGCTGCTCATACAATCACCTATAAATAGTTAGAATCAGGGTTGTTGTAATCAGGGCTATCAAAACATCGACTAGGGTTGTTGTAAGTAGTTAGAATCAGATATAAATAGAAAGCATAGTTTGCCACATTCAGAATTCACAGCTGCTTCTTGCAGCTCATTGTAGTGTGTTTGGGCTGTTCTCACCCCCTTGGTTGCAACATCCAAAAATGCTTGTTTAATCAGTATAATTGCATTAGCAGCAAATACCAGTTGCACTATTTGAAATGTGAAATTTGGTTTCCGGTATTCCGTATTTTTGTTTCCTGAGTTCCTTAATTTGTGAATCTGTAATTCTGATTCCTGAATTTGGTTGAAGCAAATACTAGCAGTCTTGGATTACATCTTAATGAGGAAGTCAGTGTGCTTACCTTGGCTAATGAGGTTAGTGGTTCCCCTTCAATCTGTTGGTTGCTTGCCTCTTTCCTCTGCTCTGCTTGCCCCCACGCAGAGGAGATCTTCATCTTTGATCTGTTGGTTGTTTTCTCCTTTTCCCTGCTCTGCGTGGGGGATCTGATCTGATTTGCATGCAGAGCAATGCTCTGCTTGCCCCCACGCAGAGATCTGATCTCCACGCAGGGCAGAGACTTTCCCTATTTGCTCTGCTTGTTTCTCAAGTATATCGATTGCTGTTTTTAGGTTTATGTGCTGGCATATCTTTAGTGGGCCTCTTTGTCTTCTTAGTTATTGGACTCTGGGCTAACTTACTCTTTACTCGGACAAAAGACAACCACAAAAAACTTGGACAGAAAACAACAATAAAAGACAAAATCGACAGAGTCGTGGGCTTTGTTTGCCTGATAGAATTTGTGTGTTACATTCTCCTAAAATATATGTTTTTTCCCATGTTTCAATTCGTGTGTTTCTTAGGCATCCAACAACTATGTGCTAGCTAGTCCAAAAATATATGGTTTTTCCTGTGTTAGAATCTGTATGTTTTATATGTAGCCAACAACACTGTGTTGGCTTGTGCTAAAACATACGTTTGTAGAGTAGACAGACTCAGAAAAAAAAAACATCTCTGATTCAAAACTTCAAACTCCTTGGCTGGCTAGTGCAAGTTTTTAACGAAAAGTTGTTGCTTTCCCTCGTCCGAGTCTTGAATCTTGACGAGGAAGCCTTGATATTAGGAGAGGAGTACTGTTGCCTATATTATTATTTTTTATTTTTCTTTTTGGGATGAGGGCGATTGATGGTGGATAGCTGAAGCTGAACAAGGACCCGTGACGGATCGACCGAGCATAGTATTTATGACGATAATGGTCAAAGTTTGAGGTTTGGCGCTTACGGCTCGGTTGCCGTGGCGACGCCAGAGACGACGAACATGAGGTTTAAGGAGATGATGAGCTCGATCACCAGCGACTGCACGTCGGAGCCCGCCGGCACGGTCCCGAAGAAGTGCTCCCGCGCGTTCCCGAACAGCAGCCGCAGCGTCAGGCTGGCCGTCGTCGCCCCCATCACCTGCGCCGCCGCGTACGCGGGGACCTGCCTCCAGGGGAACGCGACGGAGACGGCCGGGTTCAGGTGCGCGCCGGAGATGTGGCCCACGGAGTACACCATCACCATCACGGCCAGCCCCCACACGATGCAGATGCCCGGGAACGTGTCACCGTGCCGCCCGTGCGCAGGTTCACCGCCACCGCCGCGCACCCGGCGAAGATCAGGAAGTAGGTGCCGAAGATCTCCGCCAGGATCTGCATGTATGCAAGCAGCAGCCAAATACGACATCATCGAGCATGCATCAGAATCGATCACACGTCGCGTTCACATGGTTTCACCTAGTTGCCGACTGACAGGATAAGAAAACAATTGATTGCACCAAGGTGGTGACCAGATGCAATCATGCAAAGACCAGCAGCTGCTGCACGGTGTGAACTTGCATGCATCACCAGCACGACAAAGATGTTTGTGAAGGGAGTAGCAAGTAGCAACAATGCACAAGAATTGTTTGGAATTTTTCCCCTTAGCCGCCGTGTGCTTGTTACAGTATTGTTCTGAATTTGGCCATTTCTGGCGCACAACTCGGATCAGAGGACAAAAGCAGTTTTCATCTTGTTCTTTCCTCTGTCTCTGCTCTCTAGTTGTGTAACACTGTTCGAACGCTACGGACCATCCCTCCCCAATCCCAAGACCATTTTTGGTAAGCTCGCAATTGCATGCGAGAGCCACATACCTATTACTGAATTGCAAGAAACAGAAGCCCCCATCAAGTGATTGAAAGCAAGAAGCGTACCTTCTGCACGAACGGTACGGAGAACATGGCGCGGCTACGACCGGCTCCGTCCTGCTCCGAGCTCTCACACCTTGCTTCGTCTCCTCCTCTGCCTTCCTCCAAAGCCAGGGCGCCCTCGTGCACGCCGTTTGCAAGCTCTGCTCCTGCCATCTCTGCCTGTAGCAGCAGCAGCAGCAGCAGCAGCAGCTAACCGCTCCGTGTTGCTAGGAGGAGGAGGAAGAAGAAAAAGATGACGATGGAGGAGCAGCTTGGTCTAAAGCACTATTTATGGGGTCCAGCTCCAGCCTCTCCTGATAGATGGCGAGATGCACCCGTGTCCATGTATCGTAAAAAGATTTGTTTATTTATCCTGATTGCCTTCGTCGACTGACTGACCACGGAGATTAGTCTACTTATATGCATGTGTGTGTCCGGGAATTCTTCACAATGCATATAAAAGAGTTTTAAATAATGGGCAATATGTGAACGCAAACTCCCTCATTTGGGAGTTGTTGATGAGTAGCTTTCGCGTGATCAACATGCATGTAGCTGCTGACCCAGAGCTCGAATTCGCCATGTGATGATATCATCTTTAGTACTATCTCTCTGAAATTTCATTGACTTTTGACATCATATCATGTAGAATCGTTGAGATTTTGTTGTCCTTTACAAAAAAAAAAGTTATAAGTACACAAAGGAGGCATTTGTTAGAAACAAAGAAGTTATTCAGGATTTACTGTCTCCGTGTTAAAGTCTAAACATGGCCTAGTTCCCGTAAGCCCATATAAAAAAAATCTGTACATGGTCTGGAAAAGTTTTTAAGTGTGCGATTCAAAGAGGTGGCAAGTTATGGTTATCCTCTAGCTTACAGTTGTGAATGTGTGTTCAGGGTTAGTATTAGCGAATTAGAAAGAACTCTTCCCGGATGCTGATCAGAGGAAGTTGATGGAAGCTAATACTTTCTTCATGGCCGGGATTCATTCTTAGCATTCTTGTATATTGTCTGTGTGATGCGTACATGCACGTAACATATGCCACCCAAAGCATTTGAGGTCTTGATGATCTTCTAGCGAGCTTGGTGTGTAGTGGTGACGACTTGGGTTTGTGGGGGCGAAGAAACCTCTTCCTTGGTCAAGAAGCTCCACGGTGAATGGCGCCAAAGTGACCGGGAGAGTTGGGAGGGATGATGAGTCTCCGTGGCTTGTGGCACTAGCATTGTTTGTATGAGCCTTTTTTGGCAAGGTCAACACATAACTAGGGGATGGCTTGATGACTGAGAGTGGAACTTGGTGGAGCTCTGATATGGACTAAGGATTGCGGTCAAGCAACTGATACAATCCTGTACATTTTTGTCTCTGGTGGTTTGGCCCAACCTGACCTATTATTTTCTTACCACGTTTAAGATTCCGTAGTTGTGCTTGATTTGTGATGCCTTTGCCTTTCCTAGTGTTAGGTCAGTTAATAGGACTCGCTCTAAGTTGTAAAACTCTTTGTGGGTTTTGGTAGCTAGAACAAAATAAAAAAAATTCAAGGTACAAATCATACTATATACTAGTTCATAATTTTCAAGTGAAGTTTAAGTAGAACACTAGCCTTAAATTTTGAGACCCAATTTACCCACTCCCCCTCTTGGGTTTTGAAATGAACCAGGGTTTCAAAACTTGAAATTCTGACTCTCTTGCCCCTCTGTGATAGTCCCAGGATATCTCAGCTATCACGAGCATCCACTTTTCAGCTGATTACAAAGTCTTACAACAACAGAGTACAAAAATAGGGATAAAACTAACCTAATTACAAGCTCTCTAGGCTAGGATCAATCAAAATACCGAGGCTCTACTTGTAGCAGCGAAGCTTGGCGAATCTCCAATCCACAGGCATCCTTGAGAGTAGACCGCAAACCAACTACTATTCTCAACATCACTACAAGACAGGAAATCTGCACACCGCCAGATGTGTGCAGGCCATGGTCACCACCAATGAGCTTTAGTGGAAAAATAGAAAATAAAGGGATCTGATGATCCTAATAGTTTGGCTATAGTTTTCATCCTTAGCGCATGCAAAAGCGTCAAAATATATAGTGTATCTTCTCAAAATCCCAACCCATTCACTCGTTCTCACCATCCACTCAACATCACATCTCACCACTCATCATCCCTCACATCACCCTCATACTCTCGGTCTAAGCGATGAGGCAGCCTCCGCACGCCCCTCATCTCAATGGCTTCCGGTCGAACCTTAACTTCAGGGGGGGAGAAGGAAGCACAAGAGAACCTAAAGGGTCGAAACAGCTCACAGGAACAATCGATCCTGACCAAAGAATCGCGGCTATACGTATAGATTTAACTCTGCAAAGTGTGTGTACAACACAAGATCTCCGTCATCGACATTGTACACTGTCTAGGCGAACACCGTTCAAGAACTAGCACTTTCCTCACCAGACTGCCCCCAAGTGGAGTTGCATATGGCACGACGCATACACTTGGGATCATGATTAGGGTAGCCAAAAAAATCATCGGCATCCTTCTCTCTGTGCTCCTAGGGCTAAACCCCGTGCACCTTTTCTCCCATAGAACTGGCTTAGTCTGCACTAGCTCAACAGAATGGGCCCCACCGACATTTGAGGCTCGTGGCATGCACGTTTAGATATTCCCGATCACCAGGCATCATCCTACCCTTAATTGGCCAGAGCAAGCACCTTCCACAAAATCATGTGGCCTCACGGGTAGCCACCACCATAACGCCTGTCACGTATCCATCATGTCCATCGTATCACAAGAACCAGAACCGGGGCTCTCCATGCACCATGTGCACCCTTCCAAGATAATCCTCTCGCTCTAACCGATATCACCAAAGAAACAGGTCAAGGCAAGGAATATCTCCAGAGCTCCTCAAACACCTCCACCCACACGGGATTCAATGCTCCCATTGCGCCAACCAACCATCCATCCCGTGGGGAAGCCTCACGGCCTACCCCGTTCCACCAACCACCCAAACAACCACCATAACATCACATAGCAAGGCATATATGTAATTATGATGGAAGTAAATGCAAGCAAGCAGGTAAGCAATATATAAGTGCGAGTGCGAAGCTGGGTAGTCAGGGTTGAAAGGTTTCAATCAAGGCAATCAAGGCTCAGGCAATAGCATGCATCACATATTCTAGCAAAGGATTAAATGTAAAGCGCTAGCAATTCTACTTTGCAATGCTTAATAGGATTCTCTAAGATAAGGTGCTGCCATGACACCTACGATGTCGAGGAAGTAGTGGTACGCGTCTCTGGAAGTCGCGGTCATCTACCATCGGGATCCATCACCTCCAAGTGCGTCGTCAAATCCCTTCGAGCTCGAGTCGTCGCTACGCAAAGAAAATGCCGAGAACGGCCACCAATAAGATCCAATAAAACCGCAACAAAAACCTAATTCAACTAGACTCAAGGACTGCACTAGGTGGTAGAGTAGTTTTTTAGAGCTAGGATGAATATTCTATGAATTTTAGATAGTGGGGAGGTGATATGAAATCAGATAAAAGAAAAAGGCTAGGGGGAAACAAGGGCTGCCATTTGCTGCCCACTAGGCCACAGTTTGGGCCTGGCGCCACTGATGGGCCGGACGACCACTTGGGCCCGACCCAGGCAGCAGTTGAGGGGGAAAGGCTTCAGCTGGGCTTGGCTTTGTAGGCCGGATAGGCTGGGCCTATCGACCACAGAGAGCAAAGAAGAGCGTAGGGCACTTCACCGGCCAGGTGCTCGATGAACGTCCCGGCGTTGGTCATGGCCGCGAGACAGGGTTTGGGCTTGTGCGAGATGGCGCCTTGACCGGAGCTTGTGACCTCTCAGCCGAGTGATGGCGAGGCCGGGACGACCGTGGTGGCGCCGGAAACCGGTGAGAGCAGGGCGAGGTGCGCAGCGGCGAGATCGTCGTGGTCCCACGTGAAAGGTCCTAATGGCTAGAGGGGGGGTGAATAGCCTAATAAAAATTTCTACAACAACACTTAACCAAATTGTTAGACAATTATGAGGCGAAGCGAGTATTACGCTAGCCTACTAAAAAATGCAAGCCACCTACCACAATTCTAGTTTAGATAGTGTCAATTCACACAAGAGCAATGACACTACCCTATGTTAGTGTGCTCTCAAAGGCTAACTAAAGAGCCACACCAACCAAGTATGCAAGCTCTCACAACTAGCTACACTAAATAGCTTGTCAACTAGTTTGCGGTAAAGTAAAGAGAGTGATCAAGAGGGTTATACCGCCGTGTAGATGAATGAACCAATCAATCACGAAGATGAATAACAATGATGACCAATCACCTCGGAATCAAATGATGAACACAATGATTTTTACCGAGGTTCACTTGCTTGCCGGCAAGCTAGTCCTCGTTGTGGCGATTCACTCACTTGGAGGTTCACGCGCTGATTGGCATCACTCGCCAAACCCTCAATAGGGTGCCGCACAACCAACACAAGATGAGGATCACACAAGCCACAAGCAATTTACTAGAGTACCTTTTGGCGCTCCG